AAACCCCTCGCACACAAAACCTCCTTTAACCCCTCCCTCCAACCTTTCCTAGGCCAACCCCTACCCCGCCTTCCCTCCACTACACATTTATACTCTTGAAGTCATTCTATATTGTTCCATCGTCTCTACATGTCTGAACTGCCACAACAACCCCCTCCTCAGCCCTCTGGATAATAGTTTTGGTAAACCTGCATTTCCTCCTAATTTCCAAACTACGAATTCTCTGCATTATATTCACACCACACAATGCCCTCAGACATGACATCTCCTCTGCCTCCAGCCTTCTCCTTGCTGCAACATTCACCACCCATGCTTCACACCCATATAAGAGTGTTGGTTTAACTGTACTCTCATACATTCCCCTCTTTGCTTCTATGGACACAGTTCTTTGACTCCACAGACTCCTAGGTGCACCACTCACCTTTTTCCCCCCTCATCAATTCTATGATTCACCTCATCTTTCATAGACCCATCTGCTGACACGCCCACTCCTAAATATCTGAATACATTCACCTCCTTTACACTCTCTCTCTGCAATCTGATATCCAGTCTTTCATTACCTAATTTTTTTGTTATTCTCATCACCTTAATCTTTACTATATTCACTTTTAATTTTCTTCTTTTACATACCCTACCAAACTCATCTACCAACCTCTGCAACTTCTCTTCTGAATTTCCCAAAAGCACAGTGTCATCAGCAAGAGCAACTGTAACAGCTCCCACTTTGTATTAGATTCTTTATCTTTTAACCCAACACCTCTTGCCAACACCCAAGCATTCACTTCTCTTACAACCCCATATATAAATATATTGAACAACCATGGTGACATCACACATCCTTGTCTGAGGCCTTCTTTTACTTGGAAATGATCTCCCTCTCTCCTACATACTCTAACCTAAGCTTCACTATCCTCATAAAAACTTCACTGCTCTCAGTAACCTACCTTGTATTCCATACCTTTGCAACATCTGCCACATTGCCCTTCTGTCCACCCTGTCATATGCCTTTTCCAAATCCATAAATGCCACAAAAGTCTTTTTACCTTTATCTAAATACTGTTCACCTGTATGTTTCACTGTAAACACTTGGTCTACACACCCCAACCTTTCCTAAAGACTCCTTGTTCATAAGAACATAAGAACATAAGAAAGGAGGAACACTGCAGCAGGCCTGTTGGCCCATACTAGGCAGGTCCTTTACAATTCATCCCACTAACAAACATAAGAACATAAGAATGTAGGAACACTGCAGAAGGCCTACTGGCCCATACGAGGCAGGTCCTTATCAAAACGACATCTACCTAAAGCTACTCAAGAAACAACTCTCGCACCCCCCAACACCAATCAAACCCAGCCCCTCCCACTCATATATCTGTCCAGTCTCCCCCCAAAGCCACCCAAGGTCCCAGCCTCTACCACCCCACTGGGAAGACTGTTCCACGCATCTACAACTCTGCCAGAAAACCAGCACTTACCTATGTCCTTCCTAAATCTAAATTTTTCCAACTCAAATCCATTATTCCTGGCTCCCACCTGGTTCGACACCCTCAGCACTTTATTAATGTCTCCCTTGTTCATGCCCGTCATCCACTTATACACTTCAATGATATCTCCCCTCATTCCACGCCTCTCCAGAGAGTGGAGATCCAAGGCCCTAAGTCTATCTTCATACGGGAGGCTCCCTACACAGCAAATCACTTTAGTCATTCTTCTCTGCATGTTCTCTAATGAGTCCATGTCCATCCTGTAGTAAGGGGACCAAAACTGAGCAGCACAATCCAAATGAGGCCCCACCAGCGATGCACAGAGCTGCAAAATAACCTTTGGACCCCTGCTACTCACACTTCTTGAGATAAATCCAAGTAATCTGAACATCAAAATGGTATACAATACCGACAGGTTGGTAGGTAAGACACACTACTACTACTACTACTCTGCACCTCTCCTTCCGACAGTATTTAAGTCTCCGCACTGTCGCTTGATCTTCAGATAGTTCCTGACTATGGAACTGAACTTCTCCAGGCCGAGGGACTGACAACCTCAAATTCTACGACTTTAAGGGTGATGGACTGATTACATCGTCTTCTCTACTGTTCCTGCCTACTTTCTGTATTCGACTGAAGAAGCCTACTGTGTAGGCGAAACGTTTCGGAATAAAGTTGCCTAACTGTTGCCTATGTGTCTTACCTTCCAAGTAATCTGTTGGCCTTGTTGCGCACACTGAGGCACCGCCGTCTTGGCTCCAGATTTCTGCTCACCACGACTCCCAAGTCCTTTTCACATTCTGTACGACCAAGCTCTACTTCACCTAGATTATAGCTTCGAGGGTTATTTTCATTACCAAGGGCAAGTACCCTAAACTTATCCACATTAAACTTCATCTGCCATCTCTCAGACCAAGTCATTAATTTGTTCAAATCGTCCTGGAGTTCATTGATATCCTCCTCATAGTGAATTATACGGCCTATCTTTGTATCATCAGCAAACTCACTCATGTCACTAGTAATCCCTTCATTAAGGTCATTAATGTAAATTATGGACAAGAGAGGGCCCAAAACTGATCCTTGTGGAACGCCACCAGTGACTAATCCCCACTCAGATTCCACTCCATTAATGGTAACTCTCTGCTTTCTATCGGTAAGCCATGCCTCAATCCACGCTAGAACTCCACCTCCCATACCATGAGCTGCCACTTTTCTTAAGAGTCTCTTGTGAGGCACTCTGTCGAAGGCTTTACTAAAATCCAAATAAACAATATCATATTCCTTATCACTGTCAACTGCCTCAAATGTTCTATTGAAGAACGTCAGTAAGTTTGTCAGGCAGGAACGACCTCTCGTGAATCCATGCTGAGATTCATTATCAAGTTATGCTCTTCAAGGTGACTTCTGATAATGTCAGCTATAATTGATTCTAATAACCTGCCCACTATAGATGTCAGGCTCATTGGACGGTAATTTGAAGGAGTGGACTTATCGTAGAATTCTACGACTTTAAGGGTGATGGACTGATTACATCGTCTTCACATCTCTACTGTTCCTGCCTACTTTCTGTATTCGACTGAAGAAGCCTACTGTGTAGGCGAAACGTTTCGGAATAAAGTTGTCTAACTGTTGCATATGTGTCTTACCTAACAACCTGTCGGTATTGTATACCATTTTGATGTTCATCTTGTCAGACACTGCAACACGTGGCATCTTGGTACAGAAAACACCTTGGACAAGCTTTTCAAGTGAGAAGGGTTGGATCTGAGAGGGACATGACCTCTCAGTTGCCTCTCACTACTACTACTACTACTACTAGTACTCTGCACCTCTCCTTCCGACAGTATTTAAGTCTCCGCACTGTCGCTTGATCTTCAGATAGTTCCTGACTATGGAACTGAACTTCTCCAGGCCGAGGGACTGACAACCTCAAATTCTACGACTTTAAGGGCGATGGACCGACCACATCGTCCCCACATCTCCACTGCTCCTGCCTACCTTCCGCACCCGACTGAAGAAGCCCACTGTGCAGGCGAAACGCTTCGGAACAAAGTCGTCTAACTGTTGCATATGTGAACATTAAAATGGTATAAAATACCGACAGATTGCTAGGTAAGACACATATGCAACAGTTAGGCATCTCCACCCCGAAACGCCTCGCCCACACAGCAGGCTTCCCCAGTCGAGCACAGAAAAGTTGACAGAAGCAGAAGACACCCGAAGACGATGCAATCAGTCCACCACCCCCAAAGTCCCGAGGCGGCCAGTCCCTCAGTCTGGAGAAGAGCACTGTTCCGTTGTCTGAAACAATATGTTCATCTGCTATCCTGCTCTCCATCTTACTCTTAATTCTTTCAATTATAATTCTACCATACACTTTACCAGGTATACTCAGCAGACTTTTTCCCCTATAACTTTTGTACTCTCTTTTGTCCATTTTGCCTATATACAAAGGAACTATACCTGCTCTCTGCAGTCCCTAGACACCTTACCCTCTTCCATACATTTATTAAATAAAAGCACCAACCACTCCAAAACTATATCCCCACCTGCTTTTAACATTTCTATCTTTATCCCATCAATCCCAGCTGCCTTACCCTCTTTCATTCTATCCACTACCTCACTAACTTCCCCCACACTCACAACTGGCTCTTCCTGACTGACTCCTACAAGATGTTATTCCTCCTTGCCCTATATACACAAAATCACAGCTTCCCTATTTTCATCAACATTTAACAATTACTCAAAATATTCCCTCCATCTTCCTGATACCTCTTACTCTCCATTTAATAACTCTCCTCTCCTATTTTTAACCATCAAATCCATTCATTCCCTTGGCTTTCTCAACTGAGTAATCTTGCTCCAAAACTTTTTCTTATTTTCAACAAAATTTGTTGATAACATGTCACCCACTTTCTCCTTTGCTCTCTTTTTACATGGCTTCACCACTCTCTTAACCTCTCTCTTTCTTTTCATATATTCCTCCCTCCTTGCATCACTTCTGCTTTGTAAAAACCTCTCATATGCTAACTTTTTCTCCCTTACTACTCTCTTTATATCATCATTCCACCAGTTGCTCTTCTTCCCTCCTGCACCCACTTCCCTGTAACCACAAACTTCTGCTGAACACACTAACACTGCATTCTTAAACCTACCCCATACATCTTCGTCCCCATTGCCTATACTCTCACTAGCCCATCTGTCTTCCAATAACTGTTTATATCTTACCCTAACTGCCTCCTCCTCTAGTTTATAAACCTTTACCTCTCTTACTTGCTGCTTCTATTTTCCTTGAATCCCATCTACCTTTTACTCTCACTGTAGATACAACTAAAAAGTGATCTGACATATCTGTGGCCCCTCTGTAAACATGTACATCCTGACGTCTACCCAACAGTCTTTTATCTACAATACGTAGTCCAACAAACTACTGTCATTATGTACAGTTTAATAATAATATGCTGTACAATATATTGTTTACTTACAGTGATGTACTTATTTTTCACTGTTTTCCAGGCATGCGGAGATGCGAAATCCAAACCAGCTTTTCTCTCTGACAAGAGTCTTGAATCATGTATCAAGCACATTGTTAGAAAATTTCCCAACATCGACAGCAAGTCGGTAAGAATTACAAGTTTCACATGTAGGAAATGGATTCATACAATGTAACATACTGTAAGATAAAATTTTGTTCAGATTTTTAACCTAGAGGGTTAGCCACCCAGGATAATCCAATAAAGTCTGGGTCATCAAAGACTGTCTTATTTCCATTGGGGGTCCTTTAATCTTGTCCCCCAGGATGCAACCCACATCAGTTGACTAATACCCAGATACCTACTCAATGCTAGGTGAGCAAGGGCATCAGGTGTAAAGAAACATGCCCAACATCTCTACCTATGTGGATCAAACCATGGACATGGTATGTGAGCTAAGTGTGCTGTCAACATAGCCACAGGACATTGGAAGATTTTTTGAAGTGCCACCTCTATTCATGTGGTCACTTACACCATATCTGGTCGGACAGAATTGTTGGACTGCATTCTTTTCCTGGGGAAAATATGGTCGACAGTAGCAGTAGATCAACGTAAATGTCTTATTATTAGTGTCAATGTCAACCATTTTCTGTTCTCAACTGAATGATGGGTAACAGGTGTATTTGCCACTAAGACCCTGAAAATCTCCTTTCTTGGAAAATGAAATTTATGTACTATGTACTTTTCCTTAAAATTTGAAAAATAAAAGGTTTAGGAATGTCTAATAATCTTTAAAAGTCATGCATCAGTTACAAGGAATGTGTAGTTTTGCAGACTTTATTGAAAATAATTTCATTATGAATTAGGTTTATTACAGGTGACTATAAATGTATATTAAGGTAATATATTTATTATTATAAATATTTTTCTTCCTACAGTTACAAGCACTAACTAATGTGCGGACAGACATCATGAAGTCTCTCTCCCTTTACTACTACACATTTGTTGATCTTCTGGATTTGAAGGACCATGTATCTGAACTTTTAACTGTTATGGATGCCTTAGGGATGTCAGAGTCACTTGATATTGTAAGTAAGCAATTAAAAGCAATTCAACATGATTTGTTAATCATATGATATACAGTATTGTTCTTAGAAAAAATGCTGAGTATCATTATTTCTTGTTTTGAATATCTGGATTAACCTTTTCATTGTTGAGACCTCCTGAAATTGAAAGTAGTATTAAATAAAAATGATGAAATATACTCATTCGCATTTGTTCATTTCCAGGAATATGTACTATACTTGCTTATATGTGGTTCCATGGGTTGTCCTAGCTCCTGGTCCCATGTTTTTCCAGATTTACTCCCTCTTAGCCTCAGGGGCCCTATTTTACTTGTTCTTAAAATCGTCTATAAAACCTTTCTCCACCATTTCTTTGTCAAGGTCATTTCACTTTCTGACCACCCTGAAACAGAAGAAATAATTCCTGGCATTCCTGTGGCTCATCTGTGTCTTTGTGCTCCTGAGCACCTATTTCCTGTTTCTTAAATAGCCTATCCATGTCTACCTTGTCAATTTCTGAGTATTTTGTATGTTATCATGTCTTCCCTGTTTCTTCTGTCCTCCACTGATATTAGATTCAGCTCTGTTAGCCTCTCGTAGCTTGTGCCCCATAGCGTGGGAACTAATCTTTTTGTTTAGCTCTGCACTTCCTGTAGTTAGTTAACATGTTTTCTCGGGTGTGGGTTCCATGCCAGTGCTGCATATTCGAAGATGGGCCCAACATATGTTGTATAATAGGCCCTGAATGACTACCAGATAAGCATTGACTGCGGAGGTTATTTGGCTGATGTGAGCCTCTGATGTTATGTAGAATTTCTTGTACAGCATTTCCTGCTGTCTGCCAGTTGCATGGCACAGCATGATGCAGTCTTCTCTATTCTCTGACTAAACACTGCTTCTTTTAACATTCAAAGCTAAATATTGTTCTTATTTATATACTACATTGTAAGTAAATGAATGCATTATTTTAGAACATTTTTTGATTTTACCTTGGTCATGACAGTTGTGTTTTCAGATTTATAATAAACCAAATAGTATTTTTATATATGACAATTTAATTTACATAAGAATTCATTATGTGAGAGTGTGTAAAGGTTATTTTTTATGGTTATCTTTCAGAATGTGAATTTTGAACTAACTAAAGGATATTTGGATCTTGTAACCAACTATGTCACTTTGATGATTCTTTTATCTCGTGTGGAAGATCGTAAGGCTGTGTTGGGGCTCTTCAATGCTGCTCATGAGATGGTCAACAATCAGGGGTAAGTCTTGTAATTATCCATTAATTACAAAGCACTTAAGCAAAAGTCTTCATCAGAGCTAAATTAGAAAGGATTATGTTAAAGCTACTTAGTGAGATAATTGAAAGGAACTTCTATCATAAGTGTAGGAGAATAGTTTAAATCATGCTATTATATATACAGGTCTCCCTCAACATTCGCGAGGGTTAGGGGATCAAGAGCCTCGCGAATGTTGAAAAATCGCAAATGTTTGGTGCTCCAATATATTGTAGGGAAATATAATACAATACTGCTTCCTTAACTTGTTGAACCATGAACAGTCATAAAGTACATGAAAACATCGTAAATTGTACTAAATATATACATGTTATGCTTTAATAACATGTATGTTATTAAATACCACAGACTCCACCACTGCCTCCACCAATACCTCCACCACTTCCTCAACCACTGCGAGTCCCTACTACCCTCCCTCCGATCCCCGCAACTGGCAGCCAGCCCTCCCGCCACTCAGTGTGGTGAGTGTTTTGTTTGTTCATTATTTGCTATTAAACCACAGTATAAATAATGTAAACCCATTCATGACTGCATATTGGAATGGCTATTCAGTGACATCATGTGTTTACTCTTGAACACAAAGAATCAAACATTTCTGCTACTGCTAATAATTACAATAGTAATAATAATAATAATAATAATAATAATAAATACGATATAATTGAAGAAGGAAATTGTACAAAAATACGAGGGAGTGGTTGACACATCGTCAGTGTGGCTTTGTTTATGCTGGAGTGAGCATTAGTCTCCGTGCTCTTCCAAACATTTCACAATAATTCATTGTGTTTGGTGCTTGTAGATTGAGTGTGACTGGAGTGGTAGAGGCAGTGGATGAAGCAGTGGTTGAGGCAGTGGTTGAGGCAGCAGTTGAGGCAGCAATTGAGGCAGTGGTTGAGGCAGTGGTTGAGACAGTGGTTGAGGCAGCGGTTGAGGCAGCGGTTGAGGAAGTGGTTGAGGTAGTGGTTGAGGCAGTGGTTGAGGTAGTGGTTGAGGCAGTGGTTGAGGTAGCTGTTGAGGTAGTGGTTGAGGCAGTGGTTGAGACAGTGGTTGAGGTAGTGGTTGAGGCAGTGGTTGAGGTAGTGGTTGAGGCAGTGGTTGAGGTAGCTGTTGAGGCAGTGGTTGAGGCAGTGGTTGAGACAGTGGTTGAGACAGTGGTTGAGGTAGTGGCTGAGGTAGTGGTTGAGGCAGTGGTTGAGGTAGTGGTTGAGGCAGTGGTTGAGGTAGTGGTTGAGGCAGCGGTTGAGGCAATGGTAGAGGCAGCAGTTGAGGCAGTGGTATTTAATAACATTTTTTTTTTTTTTTTATTATCACACTGGCCGATTCCCACCAAGGCAGGGTGGCCCGAAAAAGAAAAACTTTCACCATCATTCACTCCATCACTGTCTTGCCAGAAGGGTGCTTTACACTACAGTTTTTAAACTGCAACATTAACACCCCTCCTTCAGAGTGCAGGCACTGTACTTCCCATCTCCAGGACTCAAGTCCGGCCTGCCGGTTTCCTGAACCTCTTCATAAATGTTACCCTGCTCACACTCCAACAGCACGTCAAGTATTAAAAACCATTTGTCTCCATTCACTCCTATCAAACACGCTCACGCATGCCTGCTGGAAGTCCAAGCCCCTCGCACACAAAACCTCCTTTACCCCCTCCCTCCAACCTTTCCTAGGCCGACCCCTACCCCGCCTTCCTTCCACTACAGACTGATACACTCTTGAAGTTATTCTGTTTCGCTCCATTCTCTCCACATGTCCGAACCACCTCAACAACCCTTCCTCAGCCCTCTGGACAACAGTTTTGGTAATCCCGCACCTCCTCCTAACTTCCAAACTACGAATTCTCTGCATTATATTCACACCACACATTGCTCTCAGACATGACATCTCCACTGCCTCCAGCCTTCTCCTCGCTGCAACATTCATCACCCATGCTTCACACCCATATAAGAGCGTTGGTAAAACTATACTCTCATACATTCCCCTCTTTGCCTCCAAGGACAAAGTTCTTTGTCTCCACAGACTCCTAAGTGCACCACTCACCCTTTTCCCCTCATCAATTCTATGATTCACCTCATCTTTCATAGACCCATCCGCTGACACGTCCACTCCCAAATATCTGAATACATTCACCTCCTCCATACTCTCTCCCTCCAATCTGATATCCAATCTTTCATCACCTAATCTTTTTGTTATCCTCATAACCTTACTCTTTCCTGTATTCACTTTCAATTTTCTTCTTTTGCACACCCTACCAAATTCATCCACCAATCTCTGCAACTTCTCTTCAGAATCTCCCAAGAGCACAGTGTCATCAGCAAAGAGCAACTGTGACAACTCCCACTTTATGTGTGATTCTTTATATTTTAACTCCACGCCTCTTGCCAAGACCCTCGCATTTACTTCTCTTACAACCCCATCTATAAATATATTAAACAACCACGGTGGCATCACACATCCTTGTCTAAGGCCTACTTTTACTTGGAAATAATTTCCCTCTTTCCTACATACTCTAACTTGAGCCTCACTATCCTCGTAAAAACTCTTCACTGCTTTCAGTAACCTACCTCCTACACCATACACCTGCAACATCTGCCACATTGCCCCCCTATCCACCCTGTCATATGCCTTTTCCAAATCCATAAATGCCACAAAGACCTCTTTAGCCTTATCTAAATACTGTTCACTTATATGTTTCACTGTAAACACCTGGTCCACACACCCCCTACCTTTCCTAAAGCCTCCTTGTTCATCTGCTATCCTATTCTCCGTCTTACTCTTAATTCTTTCAATAATAACTCCACCATACACTTTGCCAGGTATACTCAACAGACTTATCCCCCTATAATTTTTGCACTCTCTTTTATCCCCTTTGCCTTTATACAAAGGAACTATGCATGCTCTCTGCCAATCCCTAGGTACCTTACCCTCTTCCATACATTTATTAAATAATTGCACCAACCACTCCAAAACTATATCCCCACCTGCTTTTAACATTTCTATCTTTATCCCATCAATCCCGGCTGCCTTACCCCCTTTCATTTTACCTACTGCCTCACGAACTTTCCCCACACTCACAACTGGCTCTTCCTCACTCCTACAAGATGTTGTTCCTCCTTGCCCTATACACGAAATCACAGCTTCCCTATCTTCATCAACATTTAACAATTCCTCAAAATATTCCCTCCATCTTCCCAATACCTCTAACTCTCCATTTAATAACTCTCCTCAACTATTTTTAACTGACAAATCCATTTGTTCTCTAGGCTTTCTTAACTTGTTAATCTCACTCCAAAACTTTTTCTTATTTTCAACAAAATTTGTTGATAACATCTCACCCTCTCTCTCATTTGCTCTCTTTTTACATTGCTTCACCACTCTCTTAACCTCTCTCTTTTTCTCCATATACTCTTCCCTCCTTACATCACTTCTACTTTGTAAAAACTTCTCATATGCTAACTTTTTCTCCCTTACTACTCTCTTCACATCATCATTCCACCAATTGCTCCTCTTCCCTCCCGCACCCACTTTCCTGTAACCACAAACTTCTGCTGAACACTCTACCACTCCAGTCGCACTCAATCTACAAGCACCAAACACAATGAATTATTGTGAAATTATATAACAATAGTTATAAATGACCATAATTTTTAAAGGGGTGGACCGGTAAGCCAGCGGAAGGCCTCGGTCAGATGACCAAAAGCTCCAAAGGCGGGTCATCATCTGACTAAGACCCGCGTCAGGAAACATTTGTTCTGTTTCCTGACGAACCTTACCTAACCTAACCTAATTGTGAAATGCTTGAAAGAGCATGGAGACTAATGTTCACTCCAGCATAAACAAAGCCACACTGTCGATGTGTCAACCACTCCCTCGTATTTTTGTACAATTTCCTTCTTCAATTATATCGTATTTATTATTATTATTATTATTATTATTATTATTATTATTATTACTATTGTTATTATTAGCAGTAGCAGAAATGTCTGATTCTTTGCTGTGTTCAAGAGTAAACACATGATGTCACCATCTAATACCTGTCCGAATAGCCATTCCAATATGCAGTCATGAATGGGTTTACATTATTTATACGTACTGTAGTTTAATAGCAAATAATGAACAAACAAAACACTCACCACACTGAGTGGTGGGAGGGCTGGCTGCCAGTTGCAGGGGTCGGAGAGAGGGTAGTAGGGACTCGCAGGTGGCGGGAAACTTAAATATGATTTGGCGGCTGGGAATTTTGTGGCTTGGAATTTGGCAGTTGGGAATTCGCAAATGTGTGAAGCCCACGAAAGTTGAAAACGCGAATGTTGAGGGAGACCTGTACAGTATTGATGTTGTTTAATGGTGAATGAAAGTATTTATCAGATTTTTTGTTTTCTATTATTAATTTTCTTTCAGAGACCCAAGTTTTCCACGTCTTGGTCAAATGATAATGGATTATGAAAGTCCATTAAAGAAGTTGAATGAAGAATTCGTACCCCATGCTAAACTCTTATCTGTTGCTCTTAGCTCACTCTGGGTGCTTTACCCACGCAGAAATCTGAGAGCTGAGCAGTGGAGGTAAAATTCTACAATTAATATTTAAGTATCTCTAACAATCTCTGCTGTATTTGTATGATTGGTTTGTCCAACAAGTCCAAAGTTGAATTAAAGATAAAAAAGGATAAAATGAACCCTTTGCTGACTGGAATCCAGTTTTCATACACTTCATCCTTGATCAGTTTTAATTATGCTAACTTGAGGTCACTGGGTTTCTTTTTGTCTTTGGTGTCTACATGCTTTTTTCATATTAAAAAAAAAATTAAAATGGTATTTATAATGAAATTATCACTATTCAGATGCCTATTTTTTCTGTTTGGTTTCAGCTTGTTAGTGTACATTATAATTTTTAAGATTCATTATATTCCATTTCTCTTCAGGGCAGCACAGATGTTAAGTTTAGTTAGTACACCTAGTCAGCTTCTTAACCCTGCACAAACTGATGTGATGCCATGCGAGTATCTCTCTCTTGATGCCATGGAGCGATGGATTATCTTGGGCTATATGCTCATACCTCAGACACTTCAGAAGTCTCAGGCCCATGAGTGCTGGACACAGGCACTGCATACAGGCTGGGCAATTACGTTGTTCAGGTAAATGATCTTTTATATTCATACATACAGAACTCTGTTCTTAACACTAATCACCTCCCACTAAGGTAAGGTAACCATAAAAAGGAAATACATTCACATTACTGAACTGCAGTATCCCTACTCCACTTTCAGAGTGCAAGAGTGCACCTTCCACCTCCAGGGTAACCAATTTCCCCTGAATCTTTTCATAAATGATGAGTTGCTCACACTCCAACAGCCCATTCATTAAATACCACTTGTCTCCATCCACACCTGTCTAACCTACTCACACAAATCTCCTGGGTGGTCAGTCCCCTAAACCTTGGAGCCTCCTTTATCTCGTCCCTCCAACCATTCCTAGGATGACCCCTCATGACTTGATGCTCCACAACACTGCTCAATATATTACCTAATATAGAGGAAGATTGTCTTGATCTTTGGTCAGAAGTAAAGTAAATGCAAGATGCATATGTATTAAAAAATTAGTATTGAGTAGAACTGATTTTAAGTTTGACTTAAATATTATGTTGTTTAAATTGTTGCAGGTGAAATATGTTATGAAATTGGATGTCCTTAGCATTATTTATTTATTTATTAAGCATTATTTAAACCTTTGACTGTTTCAGCCATATATATACGTCTTATGAGTCAGTGTTTCGGACGTATATAGTATACTCAATAATTCTGGCGGCTTCAAATCAAGCTGGAAAAAGCTGGTAGGCCCACATGTGAGAGAATGGGTCTGTGTGGTCAGTGTGCACTGTATAAAAAAAATCCTGCAGCACGCAGTGCATAATGAGAAAAAAAAAACTCCGACTGTGTTTTTGGACTAAAGCGCCGACTTTGAGGTGTGTTTTCTTATGGTATTTATGGTTGTATTCTCGTTTTCTTGGTCCCATTTAATAGAATGGAAAACATATTACAGAAATAGAGATGATTTTGATTAGTTTCACCATGAAAAGGACCTTGAAATTGAGTTCAAAGTGGCTGAAATGTTCGATTTTTACCAATGTTCAAGAGTAAGCAAATCACACCACACATCCAATACACATCAACTGGAGAGTCTAATATTCTTTCACTAGTGCACTGATACTATTTATACCATTTGTTTAATAATGCAGTAGTCTACATAACATAATAATAACACATATTTTTTGTGTGAATAGAAAATCAAAATAGGAAGCAAGAGGGGTCTGGAGACATGACTAATGAGCAGAGGATATGTTATTTTAGTGCCAAGAATGTCTGCATTGTTTATTCTGGACCCTGTTTTGAAATTGGCATCTTTTTTAATTTCCGTGAAATTGGCCAAATTGCCAATTTCTGACCACTTTATTGGGTAGTTGCAATCAGTAAATGGGCAGTTTCTTATATTCATTTGATAGAACAAATGGAGTTCTAAAGAAATAGCTTTGAGTTTGGCCGACTGGAACAATAGAATTGGCCAAAAATAGGGCTCAAAGTGGGCGAAATTGCCGATGCGTAACTATCGCCGAGATCGCAGGAGCGTAATTCTGTAAGTTTTTGATAAAATTTCATACTTTTGGTGTCATTATCATCAGGAAAAGATTCTCTATCATTTCATAGGAAAAAATAAATTTTTTTTCTTAACCCTTAAACTGTCCAAGCAGAGCTGTATTCACATGCGTAGTGCTCCAAAAGTAGATCTATGTTTTTTTACATATTTTCAAATATAACAAAAAAAAAGTAGATCTAAGTTTTTTTTACACTTTTTCAAATGTATAAAAAGAAAAGATCTACTTTTTTTACATACATTCAAATGTTGAAAAAACGTAGATCATCGTTTGGACAGTTTAAGGGTTAAATTTTGCAACATAGAATGACATAGAATCATTAAATGTAAAATAAGCAAAACTTGTATTTCTTCTTTTATGGGTTACCCTGCCTTGGTGGAAGATATCCTATTTGTTAAAAAAAAAAAAGTGAAATTTAAAATTTTTATTTTAAATTTGAGAATTCATTGCTTTTACTTTTTTCTTTTAACACGTCAGCCATTTCCCACCGAGGTAGGGTGGCCCAAAAAGAAAGAAATACCCAGAGGGAAAATTCTTAGGAATCCACCTTGATAATAGACTCAAATTTCAAATACATGTACAACAAATAGGCATATTATCGAAGATACGGTACTATGTTCCACAATCAGCTCTCCTGGCCCTATATCACTCACTTATTTACCCCTATCTCACCTATGGAATTTGTGCATGGGGCTCAACAACAATAAACCATCTCAGACCATTAATTACCCAACAAAAGGCTGCAGTCAGAATAATGATAAATTCCCACTACAGGCAGCACACTCCACCAATTTTCAAAACTCTAAACCTACTCACCATACAAAACATCCATACTTATTATTATTGTACCTACTGCAGTACATACATAGAACACTTAACTTGGATATAAACCCTCCCCTCAAACGTCTCCTTACCAACCTCAACAGAACACATGACCATAACACAAGGCACAGATCACACTTTGATGTTCCTCGTGTCCATCTCACGCTATGCAAAAACTCAATGCACATAAAAGGCCCAAAAATCTGGAATTCATTACCTGTGAATATAAAAGAAACACTGTTTATAAATTCAAGTCTCTTCTTAAAAATCACTTACTCACCCACAACTAAATAAATACTGAATAACTGTATCTCATAAATGTTTTACCTGTGACCATATCAAACTTTGTTTTTTTAATTACATTACCTAACAGAATACTCCTTTCTATTGAATGCACAGCAACACAGCAAATGACCATATGACCTGTCTTTGAAATACTCATTTGTGCTTCATTGTTATTTGTTCACTATAATTTTTACCACTGAATATATCATTGCTTAGTTAATTTTAAGCCTGCCCATAATGCTCTGCATGCAAGGGGCTTTTGGCATGTTACACTTAACCACTGTATTTCTTTGTACATCTATGTATCATGTCCAAATTAATAATAAATAAATAAATATCTGAGCACCTCTGCAAAGACTGATTATGTATGAGTGATGGTGAAAATCTTAAATGATGATGAAAATTTTTTTCTTTTGTTTTGGGTTTTTCCTTCTTTTTGGGTCACCCTGCCTTGGTGGGAAACAGCTGACATGTTAAAAAAAAAAAGCTAGTGAAAGTTTGTTTATATTTTTTAACTTTTATTATGTAACTCATATCTTACAATACTTGAAATAATTGACTAACATTGTTTAAAAGACATGTATGTAAGCGTGCTAATTGAAGGCAGCATTGTTTTATTAATATAATGTAAAAGTGAACCAAGCATGTGCTTTCTTCACTTCTAAATAAAGGTATGAAAGAGGGGAAGGTACCTAGGGATTGGCAGAGAGCATGTATAGTTCCTTTATATAAAGGGAAGGGAGACAAAAGAGATTATAAAAATTATAGGGGAATAAATTTACTGAGTATACCAGGAAAAGTGTACGGTAGGGTTGTTATTGCAAGAATTAGAGATAAGACAGAGAGTAGGATTGCAGATGAGCAAGGAGGCTTTAGAGTGGGTAGGGGATGTGTAGGTCAAGTGTTTACCTTGAAGCATATATGTGAATAGTATTTAGATAAAGGTAGGGAAGTTTTCATTGCATTTGTGGATTTAGAAAAGGCATATGACAGAGTGGATAGGGAAGCAATGTGGCAGATGTTGCAAGTACATGTATATGGAATAGGTAGTAAGTTACTAAATGTTGTAACGAGTTTTCACGAGGATAGAGAGGCTCAGGTTAGGGTGTGTAGAAGAGAAGGAGATTACTTCCCAATAAAAGTACAGTGGTCCCTCGTTTTTCGTAATTAATCCGTTCCTTGAGGAGCTACTATAAACGAAATTTACGATTTGCCAATCAATTTTCCCCATAAGAAATAATGCAAATACAATTAATCCGTTCCTGACACCCAGAAGTTTTTTTTTTTTTTTTTTTTTTTTTTTTTTTCAACAAGTCGGCCGTCTCCCACCGAGGCAGGGTGACCCAAAAAAAAAGAAAGAAAATCCCCAAAAAGAAAATACTTTCATCATCATTCAACACTTTCACCACACTCACACATTATCACTGCTTTTGCAGAGGTGCTCAGAATACAACAGTTTAGAAGCATATACGTATAGAGATACACAACATATCCCTCCAAACTGCCAATATCCCAAACCCCTCCTTTAAAGTGCAGGCATTGTACTTCCCATTTCCAGGACTCAAGTCCGACTATATGAAAATAACCGGTTTCCCTGAATCCCTTCACTAAATATTACCCTGCTCACACTCCAACAGATCATCAGGTCTCAAGTATCATTCGTTTCCATTCACTCCTATCTAACACGCTCAAGCACGCTTGCTGGAAGTCCAAGCCCCTCACCCACAAAACCTCCTTTACCCCCTCTTTCCAACCCTTTCGAGGACGACCCCTACCCCTCTTTCCTTCCCCTATAGATTTATATGCTTTCCATGTCATTCTACTTTGATCCATTCTCTCTAAATGACCAAACCACCTCAACAACCCCTCTTCTGCCCTCTGACTAATGCTTTTATTAACTCCACACCTTCTCCTAATTTCCACACTCCGAATTTTCTGCATAATATTTACACCACACATTGCCCTTAGACAGGACATCTCCACTGCCTCCAACCGTCTCCTCGCTGCTGCATTTACCACCCAAGCTTCACATCCATATAAGAGTGTTGGTACTACTATACTTTCATACATTCCCTTCTTTGCCTCCATAGATAACGTTTTTTGACTCCACATATACCTCAACGCACCACTCACCTTTTTTCCCTCATCAATTCTATGATTAACCTCATCCTTCATAAATCCATCCGCCGACACGTCAACTCCCAAGTATCTGAAAACATTCACTTCTTCCATACTCCTCCTCCCCAATTTGATATCCAATTTTTCTTTATCTAAATCGTTTGATACCCTCATCACCTTACTCTTTTCTATGTTCACTTTCAACTTTCTACCTTTACACACATTCTCAAACTCATCCACTAACCTTTGTAATTTTTCTTT